CCCACATACAGCCCCCACCACACAGCCCGCCCAGCCACAGCTGTGGAAAGACCACAGAAACTGGAATGTGTTTTCCCTGAAAAGCAAAACAGGTTACCAGGCCTTCCCTCTCCTACTTATCCCAGAGCCCTACACGGAGCTACTGTAGGTGGAGGAAACTGCGATTACAAAGCCACGGATGCAATGTGAGTCCATTTAAGAAAACAAAACTCTGCTGGATATCTGTGTGCCTGGCCCGTTCTTGGAAGTGTCACGAGAGAGAACAGAAAGGACGCTGGGAGCTGAGTCCCAGAGTGGCCAGCCCAGCCCTTCGCCCCAGGCAGGGCGCGGTACCCACCTGCGCAGGGTAGAAAACAAGTGCAGGGGGGACTTCACCTTCCTCTCTGACAGCTTCTTGCCGTGCAGGCAGCTGGGCTTGTCTTTGCTCTGCTTCCACTGCTGGGTGACAAAGGTCTGCATGATCCTGTCAACCAAAGGGAGTCCGTTACCACGTGCCAAAGCCACTGACAATGAGATCTGGGTGTTAATTACGTAGAGAATGCGTTTACCAAAGGGAAACAGACACGCAGTAGTGACGGGGAGATGCTATGTTAGAAGCACACAGGATGTTTTTGTATGTAGAAAGCATCCTACAGAAATTTTTATGATTTTATGAATTATTATTAATAAATTACTGTGATATAATTAAAAAATATAAATGAAGAACTGATAAAAGGAGGAGGATACATAGAGATTTATAAAGACTACTAGAGGCACGGTGCACAAATTAGTGCACGGGTGGGGTCCCTCAGCCTGGCCAGCGATCGGGGCCAATAGGGGCCGTGGGAGGTTGGCCAGCTGGGGGGAGGGGCCCTGGGAGGTTAGCCGGCCATGGAAGGTTGGCTGCGGGAGTGCACTGACCACCAGGGGACAGCTCCGGCGTTGAGCGTCTGCCCCCAGGTGGTCAGTGCACGTCATAGCGATCGGTCATTCGAGTCATTCCAAATGACCGGTCGACCTGTCGTTCTGGTTGTTCTGGTCGTTCTGGTCATTTGGAATGACTCGAATGACCGGTCGCTATGACGTGCACTGACCACCAGGGAGCAGACGCTCAACACAGGAGCTACCCCCTGGTAGTCAGTGCGCTCCCACAGGGGGGAGCACCGCTCAGCCAGAAGCTGGGCTCACAGCTGGCGAGCGCAGGTGTGGCGGGGGCCTCTCTGGACTCCAAGCGGCAG